TGCCGGAGAATTTCTCAGGAAGGCTTGGGCGGAACTCTGATGACGTCACTTCTGGTGACCTCTGAGGGGGAATTGGACCCGGAAGTGGTTGCGCTGCCGGAACGGCATTAGCGCTTCCAAAATAGCCGGCGAAAGACTGTAAAGTCTGGTTATGGTGTTCAACAAAAGCATTCAACTCACGGAGGGTTTTGGCTTGACCATGGACTTGAGCTTCTAGTACTTCAAGCCTCCTCCGGAGGTGCTCTGCTGGGTCCTGTGTTTGGCCGCAGTGTTCTGTCATGATCGGTACACGAATGTGACCCAATTATGCAGAACACCACGAGGCAGGAAAAAGTTCACAGAGTTTATTGAATACAATTTCAGAGGTAATGTGTTCAGGTTCTGGTCCTGGGAAAAACGGGTTCACCGGAGTCTGTGAGGAAGACAGTTTAGTTAGTTGGGTTCTTAGAGGACTGTCCTTAGATAGTTTCTGGTTTGTACCTTGAGGGTCCTTGAATAGCACTTGGAGAGGAAGATTGTTGGAACTGGAGAGAGTCTGGTTAGCAGAGTCCGTTAGCTGCTTCAGCGTCTTGCTTCTAGGAAGGTAGCAGACCTTGACTTTGGGTTTCCAGCTCTTGGTCCAGAGCTGCATGTGAATCCAGAGGTAATCTTCAGGTTTGGCTCAGAGGGCAGGCTCGGCAGGTTAAGCTCTTCCAGAGCTTCGCAAGGGAAGATCAGGTTTTCCTGGAAAGACAGAGACAAGATTAGGATCCTGTCAGGATTCAGAGCAAACTAAGTTCTCAGAGGTTCTAGGTTTAGGTTCTAACCAACTGGCTCAACACTGCGGCGTTGAGGCAAGGTCTGAAGACAGCTTAAGTAGAGGGTCCTCCTGATGATGGTAACGAGCAGCAGCTGTGCAGAGGGCTCTGCTCAGGAGGATCCACGGCGGACTCTGCTGGAGAAGAGAGGTACTTCTCCAGCTTCCAACAGATACAGGGTGTCATGTTGAAGAAGGATCTGAGCCAAAAAGGGGAACCTGCTGACAATCAGTTAGGTTCAAAAGATCTAACAGCTTTATTCAAACGTGTCTGATGTTCATAGTAGTTTATATAGGGCCACTTAAGGACATCCAACAAGCTAGCAGAGGAAATGAACCAACTTTTCTGAGTGGATGGTCTTAAGATGGAGGTCTTCAACAGGATTGATTAATGCATGGGGGTTGCAAATGTTTTGGCTGATGAGACTTTTTTTATAATCCCTTCTGCAATTTTTTCCACTAATTGAAATGTCTTTAAATCCACATTAACATGAATTCAACACACTGTAGTAAACAGATAAATGGAGGCAGAAGATGTCTTTCAGTCATCAATGAACACATTCAGTGACACATAGCAGCTCTTTCAAGCTTGACACCGTTTCGTTCACAACACCTGTCCCATCAACCAGGAATCAGAATCAGAAATACTTTAATAATCCCAGGGAGAAATTACTTTCGTTACATAACTCCATCTGTAATAGAGTGACTATAGCACCAGTTTGATATAACGCAATTTCATACAATACATATAATTAGGGGGTCCCTGCTCCATGTCTCCATCAGTTAGGTTAACACTTTGAAGCCCCCTGTCTTAAGAGACTTTGTTTTGTAGAACTGCCAAACAGGGAGAACTCTCTGGGTAGACCAATGATTTGCAAGATTATTTTTAACATGATCGTATAGGATAGGTCCCATCCATAGGCTGGAGATTGCTGCTACACAGGACTTGTTTGGGTTCATAAGCTACAACTATGCCCTACTCTATTTACTTCTAAGAGATCAAATGGGAAATTTATCCAGAAATGTCTGTTTCAGTCGCTACGATTCCAGCAGACTACCACCAGATGGCGCCAGAAGCCTCTGTTTTCAGTCATAACAGCTGACTTTTGTTTACACCCTGAATATCCATTTAGCTGCTGCGAATCTAGAGTGAACCTTCATGTTATCCGATTCCACAGGGGAGCAAATGGGACATGGTACTGCTGTTTGGAAGCATTTATTCAACATTTGACATTATTTTCGATTTAAACTATAAAGTGGAAACTATAGACACAAGAGGGTCAGATAAGGTGGCTTCTTAAATCTGCTCCAGTGTTTTTTTTTTATTCATTTGAATATCACTCTTCTTTTCCTGCCTGGTGTTTCATCTCTTTATAACAGTCTGGTGACTTGGACTGGGAATTCCAGCATTAGCTTCCAAAATGCAAGATCCATCATTTGAGGAGTGTCCTCCTTCTGACTGTTTCCATGGGGAGGAAATTTATGTGAAGCCCTGAAAACATTTGCTTTTAGCCAAACTGAAGCTTTTTGCATGCAAATTATGACATAGTGGGAAAACTGACTTATCACTGTAAACTGGCCTTTTACTGTTTGCATAATATCTTTTTTTTTTCAGTGCAACCCTTCAAAGTTTTAAACATATTTAGGGGTATTCAGTGTCCATGGCCAAAAAAGCAAATCTCTCACTAACATCTGCTTGCTCCAGCCCAATAAAAACTCAAGAATGCCGCAGCTCTGTGTGCTTTACAGCTCACAAGCTTACTTCACTTTTTCCATGTGGATGAACCCGCCATGTGGGACCTAAAATCTCCGAGCTTCCAGGAGATTTTGAACCTAGCGCCAAATGTATTTTTGCACGTGTCAAACTGAAAGTGCATGCTGCACTCCTGCAGCCAGGTGACTCTCTGAGTCTGGGCTGCGTTTTTACGCACTGCAGAATCCATCTGCCTTGGATTTGCCACGTATTGAGGAGAGAGACTCAACAGTGTGTTTCTCATGGCGATGCGAAATGGTGTGAGAATAAATGCTCTTTGTACCCGACTGGGGTGTGTAAGTGTGAGTGTGCGCGCGTGCACAGGCAGGACAATGTCACCTTGACTGCAATGAACACGAGGCATCACTGAGGCTGAGAGGTTCTATAGAGCATCTGTATAGCGCCGGATACAGACAGGGAAGAGCTGGGGACCCGAGTGTATTTGTGTGTGTGCGCGGGAGGGAATATGTGAAATGTGTGTGAGAGAGAGGGAGAAACTCTGAGGCGGGTATAGCTCTCTGAGACAGCACACAGTGCCGGGGGATCCCTCTGCAGAGCGACGCAGAGATGTCAGGAGCGGCGCACACAGGTCGGTCATACAGCAGCCGGGGGACAGGTGATGCATGCAGGATGAGCGCCGTTTCATTCGCTTCTGAGCATCAAACCAATGCAAAAAAAAAAAGAAAAAAAAAAAGCCATCACATTCAAAGATTTCATTATTTTGTTTATGCATATGCATGACCGTGCTGTTTGCACCCTGACATGAGGGTCAGAGGTTTTGGCATTGCCAGAGGACATGATCAATCAACAACAAACATCAGGTGTCTGGCTTTGATTTTTCTCCATTGCTCATTAAATGATTCATTGTCTTTATTTTCAACAGGTTAAGCCCTATTTCTGAAATCTCGCATTAAAACCTGCTTTTAATCGTGCAATTTTACAAGTGCGCCTGAAGTTGTTTCCTGGCAGGTAGCTGCTGCAGATCTTCCTAAATCCAACATTAGTCTGAGTGATCGCATTTTGGCGCTACTGTTGCAAACTCCAAACCTCTCTGTCACGTGACCTCTGTCGGACGAATATGTCACTCTGATATTTTCATCGGAGAAACGCGGCATCAGCCAATCGCGTCCCACAGGAGGCGTCGCTGTGTTCTTAAGGTTTCGCTCAGGATGCGTTCACGTGTAATAGAAAATAAGACACTTATTAAGATACCCGCAAATGTAACTTTTTACGCAGTTTTACATATTCTCATTTTGCATGAATTACTGCAACAGTGAACTTTGTTAATCCAGATGGGGGGGGGGGGGGGGGGGAGACCCATTTTTAAAATAGTTAATCAGAAGGGTTGGTTTCTTCTTTCATCTGCATCAATTCATTTGAGCCTTAGGTTTCTGCAGAAAATGTAATGTTGAAAAAGGTCAACATCAACATTAACCCTACTCTAAGGGGTTGATGTTTGTGTCTTTTTAATCCCTAGAAGCAGAAATTGCAATCTTTGGCAGTGTATGCAATTGTCTAGTCCTGTTGGAAGATACAATAAACATGCAAATAAAATGTATGACCAGAAGAAAGTAGGTGCTCTAAAGTTTCCATATAGATCATTTAGCTGACTTTGGAAATCAACCACACTGGGTTTCCATGAATATCAAGCAGCTTGAATTAATTTGCTCTCCACCCTTCACAGTAAAGTAAAGAGTACATTGGTCACACTCTGAGTTAGTGTGGGACCAAATGTATTCTCAAAGTGTTACTTTAACACTGCAACATTTACTGTGTTCCTACAGATTCTGGGACCTATAGTTCCAAAGTTTTTTTTTCTCTGGATAAAATAACAAAACAAGCAATAAAAAAAAAACTTCTGGAAATTGGTATTTTAATCAGTGCTTTTGAAACACAAAAGTCTGCTTTTCCACCTTTAATATGCAAGTCATGCTTTTTCATGCAACACGTTTTCCTTTCACTCAATGTCCCAACCAATCTTTTGTAACTTACTATTCTTGTCACCGACTGTCGGCTGGACAATTCCCAGTTAGCCATTAAATAACAACTTTATATATTAGAGATCATTTATTGGTATTGGGACTCTTGACTGAGCTTGACTTTTCATATAATTTGTTTGTTTGTTGGTTCAAAATGGAGTTTGGTGACTAAATGTAATAGGAATTTACTGTCTGAGTTTAAATGCTGAAGTTAATAAACATTTTGGTTGATATGCAGCTGTATGTGGTTCTTATTAAAGCATGGAGCAGATGTTTATTGTTTTGTTTGTTTCTTTTTAAACACACAAAATATTTTTTTTTACATGTAATTTATTGGTATCAAACTCGTGCATATTTCTAAAACAGGACAGTATAGGTCCTAATGAAGGTTTAGGAGGTTAAGAAGGCAGATTTTCTGAGCAGACGTGAACGCATCACCAGGCCCTGTGTCGTCAGCCGTTTCCCTGCGCCTCCTCCAGCAGCCAGTCAGAGGAGGGATGCTCTGAACGCAGGACTGCAGCATCTTCACCGACTGAACAAAACGTCTCTTTCTCCGCGTCTGCTTCCAGCTCCGCGTCTCCGGACCCTCACCGCCCAGCGACACCCCGGGGTGTCTCTATTAAACGCCTGGAGCCAGGACAGGACAAGGAGAGACATATTGCACTAAAAAAAAAAACAACACAGGATTTTTAAAAAATATATTTTATCATCACTCCGGCAGTTTTTCTTTTTTTTATTTCCCAGTCTTCAGTTGATTTTTTCCTCTTTGTTGTTTCTCTTTTTGTTGTTTTTCTTCATTGTTCGCCAGGAGCGCCACCATCCTGTTCTGCCGGACATGAGAGCTGCTTACAGCGGAATGATTCACTTATCCAACCCGCATATCTGAAGGTTGTTGGAAGATAAAAAAAAATATTTTTTTTTTCTACATTTTCCCGCAGGACAGCTAATCTGCGGAGCTTTGGGATTTTTTTTCTTCCTCTCCGTTTCTGAGACCATCTTTCCTTCGCTGCGCAGCATCTCTCTGTAGCGCAGAGAAAACGCGCAGCTCAACCTGCTCCCGTCCGTAAGAAAAAAGGCGTATTTCCCCATTCTTAAAGCGCTCTCGCTTTCACTCAGGGCTCATCCGCACGGCTGCGCTGCGTAAAGAAAAGGAAAAAAAAAAAAACAAAAAAAACACGGGGATTTAAGCGCAGACGCAGCTTAAGCATCCAAGAGCGATCTCGAAAATGATGGCCGGCGGAGCTGTACAGCAAAACGGCATTTTCACAAATCCTCACAATCACAATCAACAACCCCACATGGAGTCCGACCCACCGGATTCGCGTAAAAGACCACTGGAGACCCCGACGGAGGCCAGCAGCACCAAGCGCACAAACACGGGAGGTAAGAGATGGGGATGCAGGAAAGACGCACAAACCTGAGTGAATGTGGGAACATAGGGAAGCAGGTTGATCCTCAGCTTTAGAAATAATAATAATAAAGAAAAACTTAGCGGGTGGGAATATGAACAGAAATCTGTTTTTTTTTTAACCTGGCGCTTTAAATCCAGAGGGGATGTTTTTCTTTTTTATTGAAGCCCTTATGAGCGGCAATCATTTTCCATCAGCATTAAAATAATCATGGCTCGCCGCTTCTGATGGGAACAATGAGGGGAAGCGCGCTTCTGTTTACCTCCACGCACACCCAGAATGATTTATCCTTTTCTTTTTTTTTGCACCATTCCGACTTTATTAACACCATATTATTTATTACTGCGTCTGAAGAAATCCGGCGGCCATGCTTGAGCCAATACAAAGGATGTAAACAAGTCAAAGGCAGGTCAGGCGGTTTGGCCCCTATGCGCGATCGCAGGGTCCCTTCGAAGGATGACCTTGTGGTAATGTCTAACATCAGCCACCATCACCGCGCTGTGTGTGCAATTATACAAGCGGATTCATAGCAGCAGCTTCAGGCCTGTGGCGAGTCTGTGAAAAACAAGAGGAGCTCTGCTCACACTGCGACAGCCTCGCTCTTTTTAGTGCCTTTTTTTAAAGGTGTTTGGGATTTTCGCTGCCGTTTCTTAATCAGATGATGTTTCTTTATTTCTACAAGCTGGATGGAATATGTCACCATGGTAATCACCACATTTGGTTTTTTGTTTACATGCTGTCATGCGCCAAGCATCCCCCCCTCCATCACCTGGCATTACAACCATAGCATAAACTGGCCATGCACCCCCCCTCCATCACAATGCACTTTTAATAGACTGCTCTACACACCGCACAGGTGTAATGCAATACTGGTATAAAGAGATCTGGTTCCCTAATGCCAGAGAAACGTTCCTTTAAATACAGTCTGCTAATGTGAGAAAGAGTTAAAGGGGTAGTTCTGCTATTTTAAAAAGTGGCTCTGTAAAAACCTAAGGTTATGTCTTTTATGTTGTGTTTGGCCCATTCTGACTTTCTTTCTTTTTTCAAACAAAGCTAAAATATGTCCTGCAGTTTTTTTATATATATACATAGAAGTTGTAGTTTGAAATTCAACCAACAAATAAGGAAATCAAAGTTCAATTTATCCTTCAAAACAAATTTTTATCACTTAAATCAGCTTTGTTTTGATGCATCTTTTGAATAGATAGGAGATGTTACATAAGCTGATGCATATGTAACCAAAAATGGAAGTTTCATTGATGAATTAAATTAATTTTAAGAACAAATTTAGAGTTTTTAGTGTTTTACCTGCAGATTCCCATTCAAAACCATGTAAAAGAAAATGGTCAACCAATATTTGGTCAGTTTTATTTATTTATTGCAACTCCAGTAATAAGGAGCTTGTAGCTACGGAAAATAATCATCTTGGTGTCTTTATTTGATATAAATCTGTTTGGCCTAATGCTAATGGCTGGACCAAAGAAGGTTCTTTCTTCCAGTTTTAAAATCGTCACAATTCCATACGAACATTAAGACCATTGACATGTTTACATCTGGCTTTTTCTTACCCAGAAGTTCATGTTATTTTTTTACAGGGAACTGAGGTTTATGTTTATGCATTAGCAGACGATTTTATTCAAAGTGACTTACAAAGTAGGCATTAGCATAAAGGGTAGGAGACTGTGCCCCATTATTTGACTTCCTGTGTACCTCGAACTTGCAGTGTAACAATAGTCGAATTAGTAAAGCAGCTTAAAAAGTAACTTTATTATAATTGTTTAATTGAACACTATTTAATCTTTTTTTTTTTTTTTTTTACATATTTTATTACCATCTGAATGAAATTTTCTTTAAATGTTACTTGTTTCATACAGGAAGAGTATCAGAGGTGCACCTCCTCCTTTTTGGAAAAAAAAAAATTAGTTTTATAAATGGCTGTTATTTGCAGACATACTAAGAGACAAATATTTACATTTTAGAGATTTAAGAACTTTTTTTTTGCGTGATTTTTTTAGTCCCTCTCTCATCAGCCGCTAGCCTAACTTTATCCTGCAAGATAAACTCATTTGTTGCGATTAAATCAGAGTTTGTACGTTGCAAAGATCTTAACTGCTAATAAAGTTTTGACAGGAATGCCACCTTTAAACATCATGAGCTATCCCTTTAACACACCTGGCATAAGCTTCAACCAGTGAAGGTCTACTCTATGCATGCAGGATAATTCTAATCATTTCTGTTTTTATGGAGATTTCAAAATGAACTCTGAGACATAATAAAACGGATTGAGGATTTTGGGAGATTCTGAATCTTTATGGAATCTGAGGAAGAAGAATTATGATAATCAAGGAAGAATCTCTCCTGCTGACTCTAAAAACTTTTAAGCAGTTTGAAAAAGCTAGGCATGGGCCGGTGTCAGATTCTGGTTTCATAATGATAACAGAAGACCTAGAGAAGGATAGTTTATCTGATGAGCTGTTAAAAAAGAAAACAAACAAATGATTCTGACTCCTGCTTTAAAAAACAGCTCATTAATTAAAACTGTCGGTCTAATAGTGATATTTTAACTGTAGGTAGCAAAAAAAACTAAACAAAAACTGTAAGTAAAAATGCTTTATGTGCAGAATACCTTACTGCTGCTCTGGTCTTAATAGTGGAACACAAGAATAAGGAGCTGTTAGCAGTAAATAGTCTCACTGGGTCTAAATTGTAGGAGCCTTGCTGGAGCCAGCTGGGCAGCAGTGTGCAGCTCTGCAATTCACTTTGGTTCTTTGTCTCAGTTCTTTGTTTCGCTTCTCATTTAAAGGACTTTAGATTTGTAGGAAGAAAGAGTACGTTTATAAAGTCCTTTTATGGATAACCGGCCCATGCCTACAACTACACCGACCACCATCTTTGTTAGCGACAGTCTGAGAGGGTCCAGCCAAGGATGGGTTGAGCTGCAGGTTAGCCGGCAGTGTTTAACTGCAGATCAATGCAGCACTCAGAGCACTAAAGCCTCCTCTAGGCTCTATGTAAAAACCCACAGCCCGGGCCCTCGGGGGACGTTCTCGCTGCCTGCGTAAATCTCAGCCAGCTTGTGCATTTAGACAAATGAAAAGCCTAGATGATGATGATGACTTTTACTCAGACATAGACTGTACCGCAGTTAGTTTAGCTCTTCCCCTGAAACCGCATGCTTAAGTCCAGAAGGAAACAAACAAACAGATCTTGGCTTGGGGTCTTTTTTTCATCTGTTTTATAAATGTATTATGTTCTAATATAAATTAATGATTTATGTCTTTATTATCACTAATTACTTATTACAACCTTGGTTATAATACTGAAATAAGCCTTAATAAAGTGCATAATGTGAAATTAAATATGATTTTGCTACTGTTTTTATTGTTTATCCCCTATTTGAGGGAAACAAACTCACCAAGCAGTGTTTTTAAAAAAATCTATATTCCTTAAGATGCACTCAGGTTGCAGATCTAAAGTTAGAGCTCATAATTCTGGTTGTTTCTCTGAATGATTAGTTTACGCCACACACTCCCCACCCCTGTGCTTCCTCTCTCTGTAGTGGCCTTCCTGCAGCCCATATTTGAAACTGAAGGGATTGTATACCCTGAACAAGAAACTGAGACTCATGGTAAGACAGACTTTGATTTTGATCTTCTACCTCTTTTTTTAGTCATTAATGTTAACACTGCAGTGTCTGAAGGCAGATTTCAGCAATAACTGAGACAAGTGTAGGATCTTTTTTTTTAACGCAGTCTGACTTTTAAATAGGATTTAAGGTTATATTGAACACCTTCATTCTTTTCATTATTCAGACTAATGCATGATGATATTGCTTCTATCGTATGTTTTTATTTCCATGACATCCATTACCATGCTTTTTTATGCAGATCCAGTGTTTGTTTTATTTCACAATGTTCAACATAACTGCACAGATGACTGCTGATGACCTTTGACCTCATGCTGGCCATATCATCTGCTGATGCATTGTTGAAACGTTCATCGTCCTTACGTTATAGGATCAAAGCGGGATAAATATGCTCCGTCTAGCAGTCGGTCACACGGCTGTTCTTCTTTGCTGTTTTATTTTGCCGAAACGTTCCTTCTTTGGAGGAAAGTAAAACATTTATTCGGAGATATTCAAAGGTATCCACCAATCAGGCCTTTATCTGCTGATACCGATTTCTGGTTTTCTTGAAAGTGTCCATTTTGAGGAGTTTCTTGTTCCATTAACTACATAAAAAAAAAAAAACGTGACGTACTTTGCTTTACATATGTAGAAGTAAATTATTATCTCATTTTATCCACCCAAGTACATTTGCCTATCCTTCATCTGATTAAATTGGAAAAAGAACATTTGAGTATCTTTGGTTTCCTGCTGAGGTGTTTATGGACCAAAAGCTGTAAAAAAATTCCTTGTTATGGTTAATTTAATCATTAAGATTTTTTGATTTATTTATTATTTTAATTAAACTTCTGTGTCACTGATTAGAGCCAATTAAGGGCAAATGATCTTTTGCAAATAAGTTTTTTCCATGTTTACTAAAACTGGTTGTTTCCATAGTTAAAACAGGGAAATAAAAATAGAAAATAAAATGAATATGCAAAAAAAGATCAATCTGTTATTCAGCTGTAGGCAGTATATTTTTGTTCATTTCATTCATTCTATATTAACAAAATTTCCAGATGACAAAAATACTTATTTTGTTTCTTCCTGGTTTTCCTTAAAGCTTCGCAATGGTTTGTGTCAAAGCCTAATCAAAGATGTGCATACCTGAGAAACAGTTTATAAAAAAAGCTAGTCAGTTGTCAGGGAGTAGAGACATGGGACCTCTGCAGCAACCCCCCCCCCCCTAAAGGTCATAAATCCCACTTGCTTAGCAAAAAAAAAAAAAAAAAAAAAAAAAAAAAAGGCTGAAGCTGATCTTAAAGACGGAATAGATCAATGAGTTGCTGCTGTGTCCGGCGTTGGCTTCACATCCCCCCACTCTCACCAAGCCCAGCTAATCCGCCAACTCTTAGCCATTCATATGTGTCTGCAGCCCCTCGCTGCCCCTCACCCATACAGCAGGACACAGCGGGCGTCCCCCCGCTATTAAAGGAATTCAGATTTCCCTCTCATCATGGAGCCCGCACGTGTGATCCGAGACGTTTAATCAGCTCAGCGTTAATATTTGATCCAGTTTCCCTTGTTTGAACTGAATGAGCTACATAACATCAAGATCTTCCCATGATTTTACTATTAATATATATTTATTTTTGCTGGAACTTGTGGAGAAAATGATAGAGTCATAAAATCATTGAGTCTGTTTCATGAATACATATTACTTGAATTAAAATTTTAGCTTCTTGTCTGCTTAAAAAATAAATGCTCTGACCTATTTCCCTTATGGTTAGGACACAGTCTCACCCAGAAGACACTAAGAGTTTGCAAAAAGCCACCATTTTAATCCTCAACAGTATCCATTTTTCAGAAACACATTAAAATTGCTCTTCTGCTTGCAGAGCTTTAACCCCCCCACCCCAGCAGTCTTTCAGCTTGAAAACAAATGCAGGCTTCAGAGAGAAAAAAAATGCAGCCTATATAAGCCATTAATAATCTTATGTAAGAAAAAAAAAATAAACTGAATGATTTTTAATTCGTTTTCCAATATATGAACATATTGGTGATGCTACACTTTTATTATTTCATATCATCTTTTTTTGGTCAGTGGATCTTCTGTATTGCCTCTAAGATGTAATACATTCATTTAGTAAATGGATGGGTTGGCTGTCGCTGGGAAGAAAGAGGTGGGGGTGGGGGGTACGTCCTTGCCAAGTGACAGACTGGAGAGTTTCTGCATGTGTGTGTTGTGTGTAGCTGTCGCTGTGTTTTATGTCTGACTACCTGCAAAAAGCAGAGCTGAAGCTTAATGAGAGAGATGAAGGGGGGTGTGGAAATGATGGATTGCATTACGAACACACACACACAACAAACATACATGTTGTGCATCGTGTCCTGGATGGATGACCCCTGGTCTTTGAAGATATCGATCTTATTATTATTTTTTTCTGATGTTCCTGCAGATGAGGTAGACATCTTTTCTTTTGGGGTCTTATCTTCAGAGAAGGGCGGCCATCTTTACATCGATCGAATCTCTGGAGGAGACAAACCGTAGCTGTGTGAGAGAGCGTGTCTTATTTGAAACTGTAACTAAAAGCAAAGTAATACCTTCTTAACAGTTACATTAAATCCTCACAATGGTTATTATGGGGTAAAGTACAAAGAAATACATATATCACCAAGGCAAATAGAAGAAAAAACTTTAAAAGTTAAAGGTATAAAAACAAATGTTAATTGCCAATATTTTAAAAAGAAAACAGATGATATGATATTATATTCTCACAATAACAGGAGTAATATTAATGGGGATGAAATAAAGGAAAATGCTTATTTAAGACTATGGGAATCAATCAGCAGATTGGGAGCAGGTGTGGACAGAGGAATCTAGAAGGGAGCTAGGGGAAAGGAGACTGACACAAGACTCAAATACAATAAATAAATAAAAAAACTAGAATAACACACAATGAAAACTCAAAGAGAATATTAGAACCAAAACCATGACATATTTTTATTGTGTCTGATAACCCCTCCAATTGCAAGAGATAAGATAGCTATGTTTGTTTTCAATTTGGAAAACTGCAAAGTTAAAATCCAATATGGCTGCAGCACATTTAACTATTAATCATATCTGTTGTCATAAACAGTCAATTTGTACATCTGTCGCTTTAATATCAATAAATCAGTCAGCAGTTTTCAGACTATCCAACAGATATTGGTGACATGAACTAAAAAAAATCTGACTTGCGGCTGTACTGCAACAAATAAAGATTCCATACTTCACTTTGATCTGCTAAAACAGGACACCATTTAATTGTATTAAATCATTTTTGTTATCATTGCATCATTTATTAATATTTTCGCAAAATTTTCAATGAAAGCATAACAAATTAAACCATCAATCACAACCCTATTGTCGTTTTTTTTTTAGGTTAGCAAACATATTTAGCTAGAGTTGGTAGTAGGTGCAGGATTATTATCTCTTATCTCGATTCTTGCTTTTCCCTGGTAACAATAAATATGGAGATTGTTCATACAAGCTTTACATTCTCGTGGAGAGAACGACTGCAGGTATGGCTTACATTTCTGACAGTTTGCTTAATACCTTGGGTGAATAAATAGAAAATGTCACTGGTTTTCCATTAAAGAATTGTTAGATGGGAAATTTTGGTAAGATGAAGCAAAGCTACCAGTACTTCTTCCTACTTCACTTTAGTTCATTTCTGTTTTTACTTGGAGCTCTCGAAATATTTAGCACCGTAATTCATCAGCCATTATCAGAGTGCATGATAACTGATGTTATTGGCTGTTTAGGTCAGTAACTCCATTATTGTTCAGCCTACAGGGTCAGTCGGCTTATTTGTCTTGTTAAAGCTGTTACACAAATCACTTCCTAGTCACTAAAGGCAGCTCAAGTACCACCAGTGGTTCTGACACTACAGTTTGAAATCAGTTAACCAATAAAAGCCAATGTTATTTACTGAGGATGGTATGGCAGAAATGTGGAGCTGCAGCGGAAATGTTTTATATTCTCTTCTTTATTCCTCTTAGACTTTGGTTTACTACGATAGAGCCATAAATAAAACAAAATGGGCTCTCTATTATCCTTCCAACCTATTTTATTACATCATAATATAATGAAGTTCTACAGGATTTAAAAAACAAAAAAAAAATGTTTAAGAATCAGGGATTTTAGGCCCTATAAGTTTTTTCACTTTTAGTACAGCAAACAAAATGAAAACAAAAATATGACAGATTTCATATGATTAATGTAACATTGGTGTGAGCATATTACCTGCTCACACATTAAAATAAGATATTTATAATGAATAAGTAGTTACTCAGCTATCCAATGTTAGATAGTTTTGGATTTATTACCAACAGCTCCTACCAGGTATTAATGGTTTAAATTGTAGTAATTACATGATGTTAAACTGTAATTACATCTCTCCTAATAATTGATATTAATTCAAATTTATTTTAGATTGCCTGAATTGCATTTTTACTGAATATATGGAGCTGATTATTATGCATAATGAACGCAGAGCCAAATGCTTTGTTTTGCCTCCCTCACACTCCTGTTTTGTTCAATCTTAGGCTTCCTCGCCTGGCGCCTCTCCCTTCTTCTTGTTTCATTCGTTCAGCCGCCCTTGTTTTTTCCATCCATTCTAAACACGCTTCTGTCTGCGCCCTCCTTCAACATCGTCCTTCCATCCTTTTGTTCCCATCAATTGCTGCCTTTGACAACGCTCACCCGGCAACTGTTTCCTAGGCTGATCGATGCGAAGCCGCCATGAGCAGCACTAGCTGCATCTTTCCCTTTCTTCGTCTTCCTACACCCTACTGTCTATCTCTGTTTTTTAAGCCAATGCGTCAAATTGCAAAAAAAGAAAGCATGGTACAGGGTGGGGCGAAAATGCAGGGTGGTTGGTGATGTTACCATAAAGCCAAGCACGCTATTGGCTGAGCTACCAGTCGCTCACAGCTAACTGGAGCCTGATAGGATAGCAGAGCAGAGTGGTGATGAATAT